GCTGATGTTATGAATGAAAAGAAGTTGGATGTCCTGGCCCTAAGCGAAACAAAGCTGAAGGGGGTAGGGGAGTTTCGGTGGGGGGAAATAAATGGGATTAAATCTGGAGTATCTGAGAGAGTTAGAGCAAAGGAAGGGGTAGCAGTAATGTTGAATGATCAGGTATGGAAGGAGAAAAGAGAATATGAATGTGTAAATGCAAGAATTATGTGGATTAAAGTAAAGGTTGGATGCGAGAAGTGGGTCATAATAAGCGTGTATGCACCTGGAGAAGAGAGGAATGCAGAGGAGAGAGAGAGATTTGGGAGATGTTAAGTGAATGTATAGGAGCCTTTGAACCAAGTGAGAGAGTAATTGTGGTAGGGGACCTGAATGCTAAAGTAGGAGAAACTTTTAGAGAGGGTGTGGTAGGTAAGTTTGGGGTGCCAGGTGTAAATGATAATGGGAGCCCTTTGATTGAACTTTGTATAGAAAGGGGTTTAGTTATAGGTAATACATATTTTAAGAAAAAGAGGATAAATAAGTATACAAGATATGATGTAGGGCAAAATGACAGTAGTTTGTTGGATTATGTATTGGTAGATAAAAGACTGTTGAGTAGACTTCAGGATGTACATGTTTATAGAGGGGTCACAGATATATCAGATCACTTTCTAGTTGTAGCTACACTGAGAGTAAAAGGTAGATGGGATACAAGGAGAATAGAAGCATCAGGGAAGAGAGAGGTGAAGGTTTATAAACTAAAAGAGGAGGCAGTTAGGGAAAGATATAAACAGCTATTGGAGGATAGATGGGCTAATGAGAGCATAGGCAATGGGGTCGAAGAGGTATAGGGTAGGTTTAAAAATGTAGTGTTAGAGTGTTCAGCAGAAGTTTGTGGTTACAGGAAAGTGGGTGCGGGAGGGAAGAGGAGCGATTGGTGGAATGATGATGTAAAGAGAGTAGTAAGGGAGAAAAAGTTAGCATATGAGAAGTTTTTACAAAGCAGAAGTGATGCAAGGAGGGAAGAGTATATGGAGAAAAAGAGAGAGGTTAAGAGAGTGGTGAAGCAATGTAAAAAGAGAGCAAATGAGAGAGTGGGTGAGATGTTATCAACAAATTTTGTTGAAAATAAGAAAAAGTTTTGGAGTGAGATTAACAAGTTAAGAAAGCCTAGAGAACAAATGGATTTGTCAGTTAAAAATAGGAGAGGAGAGTTATTAAATGGAGAGTTAGAGGTATTGGGAAGATGGAGGGAATATTTTGAGGAATTGTTAAATGTTGATGAAGATAGGGAAGCTGTGATTTCGTGTATAGGGCAAGGAGGAATAACATCTTGTAGGAGTGAGGAAGAGCCAGTTGTGAGTGTGGGGGAAGTTCGTGAGGCAGTAGGTAAAATGAAAGGGGGTAAGGCAGCCGGGATTGATGGGATAAAGATAGAAATGTTAAAAGCAGGTGGGGATATAGTTTTGGAGTGGTTGGTGCAATTATTTAATAAATGTATGGAAGAGGGTAAGGTACCTAGGGATTGGCAGAGAGCATGCATAGTTCCTTTGTATAAAGGCAAAGGGGACAAAAGAGAGTGCAAAAATTATAGGGGGATAAGTCTGTTGAGTATACCTGGTAAAGTGTATGGTAGAGTTATTATTGAAAGAATTAAAAGTAAGACTGAGAATAGGATAGCAGATGAACAAGGAGGCTTTAGGAAAGGTAGGGGGTGTGTGGACCAGTGTGTTTACAGTGAAACATATAGTGAACAGTATTTAGATAAGGCTAAAGAGGTCTTTGTGGCATTTATGGATTTGGAAAAGGCATATGACAGGGTGGATAGGGGGGCAATGTGGAGATGTTGCAGGTGTATGGTGTAGGAGGTAGGTTATTGAAAGCAGTGAAGAGTTTTTACGAGGATAGTGAGGCTCAAGTTAGAGTATGTAGGAAAGAGGGAAATTATTTCCCAGTAAAAGTAGGCCTTAGACAAGGATGTGTGATGTCACCGTGGTTGTTTAATATATTTATAGATGGGGTTGTAAGAGAAGTAAATGCGAGGGTCTTGACAAGAGGCGTGGAATTAAAAGATAAAGAATCAGACATAAAGTGGGAGTTGTCACAGTTGCTCATTGCTGATGACGCTGTGCTCTTGGGAGATTCTGAAGAGAAGTTGCAGAGATTGGTGAATGAATTTGGTAGGGTGTGCAAAAGAAGAAAATTAAAAGTGAATACAGAAACAGTAAGGTTATGAGGATAAAAATATTAGGTGATGAAAGATTGGATATCAGATTGGGGGGAGAGAGTATGGAGGAGGTGAATGTATTCAGATATTTGGGAGTGGATGTGTCAGCGGATGGGTCTATGAAAGATGAGGTGAATCATAGAATTGATGAGGGAAAAGGGTGAGTGGTGCACTTAGGAGTCTGTGGAGACAAAGAACTTTGTCCTTGGAGGCAAAGAGGGGAATGTATGAGAGTATAGTTTTACTAACACTCTTATATGGGTGTGAAGCATGGGTGATGAAGTTTGCAGCGAGGAGAAGGCTGGAGGCAGTGGAGATGTCATGTCTGAGGGCAATGTGTGGTGTGAATATATAGCAGAGAATTCGTAGTTTGGAAGTTAGGAGGAGGTGCAGGATTACCAAAAACTGTTGTCCAGAGGGCTGAGGAAGGGTTGTTGAGGTGGTTCGGACATGTAGAGAGAATGGAGCGAAACAGAATGACTTCAAGAGTGTATCAGTCTGTAGTGGAAGGAAGGCAGGGTAGGGGTCGGCCTAGGAAAGGTTGGAGGGAGGGGGTAAAGGAGGTTTTGTGTGCGAGGGGCTTGGACTTCCAGCAGGCGTGCGTGAGCGTGTTTGATAGGAGTGAATGGAGACGAATGGTTTTTAATACTTGACGTGCTGTTGGAGTGTGAGCAGAGTAACATTTATGAAGGGGTTCAGGGAAACCGGCAGGCCGGACTTGAGTCCTGGAGATGGGAAGTACGGTGCCTGCACTCTGAAGGAGGGGTGTTAATGTTGCAGTTTAAAAACTGTAGTGTAAAGCACCCTTCTGGCAAGACAGTGATGGAGCGAATGATGGTGAAAGTTTTTCTTTTTCGGGTCACCCTGCCTTGGTGGGAATCGGCCAGTGTGATAATAAAAAAAATAAAATACTGTATAAACATTTAAAAATATACCAGAAATGTTATAAATGGTGCAAAGGTGACGTTAAAACAATATCAAAGATGGTTGACACAAACCCACCACCATTATAGTATGCTCCTCACTTAGCGACAAATTCGTTTAACGAAGTGGTCTTAGGAACAGAACTCTGTCGTTAAGTGAGGAGAGGCTGTACTGCTAATGTGAAATGTTAGCACTATAAAGTTTCATTTTTTTTTTTTAACACATCGGCTGTTTCCCACCAAGGTAGGGTCACCCAAAAAAGAAGAAACACATTCATCATTACTACAACATTTTAAACACCTCTCCTTCAGAGTGCTGGAACTGTACTTCCCATCTCTAGGACCCAAGTTCAGCTAACAAGTTTCCCTGAATCCCTTCATAAATGTAACCTTGCTCACACACTAACAGCACATTAAGTCATAAAAGCCATTTGCCTCTACCTGCTCCTCTGTTTAATTTTTAATTGCTCTGCTGCTACTTTTGTGATGTAGGACTATAATAATTTTTTAATAGTTGGGATAATTCCTGTTTAGACCCCATCTTCATGGGGTATTTAAGGTCTAAGATAATGATTTTTGCAGTTTTATCTTACATGTGGTTATCATATATCTGTATCTTATAAACCAATGCAGATTTTTTAGTTTAAATACCCATTTTTGACTATGAATTTGTAGTTGTAATAAAAGTACCTCTATGAGCTGCAAGGTGAGGGAGAAGAAGATAGGAAATATCTCTTGGTCCTGAATATTTACTATGACATGAAATACTTTTTTTTTTTTAGAATTTCCCATCAGTATATCTAAAAGCAACTTCAAGTCTGTTAATGCAACAAATGTTTATTACGATTCACTAATTTTTTTTTGTCGATGACCCCTAAGTAACTACATCAGACCCTTTAAATATTTCATCACATGAAATGTCTTCAAAATAAAGATACCTAGGTGCTGCATATATGTAACTGATCAAGTCTTATTTTACCAGTGGCAGAACAATGGAATGATACATTAGATGTAGCAAGTGCTACTCTCAACTATTTGAAATTAAAAAAAATTGTACCGTATGATTAAAAACTAAAGATGGGTCACCTCGAGCACAGCTCTCCCATAGATACAAGAAATAATCACATATAACTAGGCAATTACAAGTAGGCATATACACACTACCTATCATTTGTGTAAAAAAAAAAAAAAAAAAATTGATAAAATAAATCTTTCTAGCTGAGGCTTGAGTCATGACTCCAAATGAACTGAATTATAAACAAAAGCAAATAATTTATCAAAACATGTAGTAATATTTGTACACCAATTAGACATAATTAATAATTGAGGTTTTGCTAAAAATAATATATTCTTATCCATATTTCCATATACTCCTGTGTAAGGAAACAACCTTTTCACAATTGTTGAAATATTAGTTTTTATAAGAAATCAATTCAAGGCAATCATTAAAAGCTATGAAGAAATAAGCCTGGTTAATTACTACATTGTTGCAGTGCTCTGATTCCCTATATGGTATAAGTAAAAGAGATCCACTTATCAATACCGTTTGTTCTTCCAACTTCAAAAGTTGTGGGTGGGGAAAATTGGAATAAATGAGTGTTAATTTGGGGTGATGGGCTAGCAGAAGCCAGACTGCAGGCTTGAGGCAAGACTATTCTTTTAAAAAATCCTTAAGTTATCTTAACACATTAATTAGATCAACTTGACAAATTAGATCCCTCATTCTTATAAAATACGCTAATAGCCTTTTAGCCAAAATGAGGCAATTCAATTAAATTGCTGGAAAAACAAATGGTAAATTTTGAAAGTTAAGAGTTGAGTGAAAGAATATAATAATGAGAACATTAAGTGGCTGGAAGTATACTTACACTATCACTGCCAATACCCGATACACTCTGTGCAAATCTTTCTTTGGCTTTAAGGGCTCTAACTCTCTCGTTCCGAAGTCGCTCATCATCCTGAAACATGGTGGCTGCCATATAAATTACTGTATGGATTATTCATTCCCTTTCCTTATTAAATGACAAACTTGCTCTTAGCCTTCACTATGAATGGTTTAAGGTCATTTGGGTTCCTAGGGCTAAGTGATATCTGAGGCCCTGCCATACAAACTCTCAAACTAATAAGGAAAGAAAACTACACCAATATTTATTATACATTCATATATATATATATATAAGCTCGATCTAGCAAAAAAACTGTAGAGAGCACAGTTAAATATTAATGATTGAGATTAGTCATAACAGGTGGTGTTGAGAACTTGTGCTCCATCCAAGCTTGGCAACCATGAACATCTGAGGGAAAACTTCACAAATAAAACAAATAAAAAAAATTGTGCTTACCTATGCCTCTTGATCTTGTATGTAAATTGTATGTATGTAAATCATATGTTAGGTAAAAAAAACTAGATTTCAACACAAATTTCTTGAAAAATGTCTGAGATTTTGACATCTGCATTCAACATTGTGCTGTACCATGAACTAACATATATACAACGCATTTTTTATTATTATTAACACACTGGCCGATTCCCACCAAGGCAGGGTGGCCCGAAAAAGAAAAACTTTCACCATCATTTACTCCATCGCTGTCTTGCCAGAAGGGTGCTTTACACTACAGTTTTTAAACTGCAACATTAACACCCCTCCTGTTAATGTTACAGTTTAAAAACCATCACTGTTAAATGAGTGAAACAGAAGTATAAAATATTAAGCAAAAGATGACACATGCATTCTACCTCAAACAAGGCTCATTGGGGCAGTAAGTAGCTACAACACAGTAGACAGTAAGGGCAAGATGCCTCAAAGTTTCGTTCAAATCCACCAATCTCGTACTGAAAATTTAACTCGGATTTACAGACTGGGCATCAAGCTGTCATCAGAGGATCAAACCATCTGAACCAGAAAACCATATAATTTTCCATTTCTTAAAACAAATTTCCCTACCCTTTGAAAGATAGGATCAACCAGGTTGATAGTGCTAGCCATATACAGCCCAACATATGCACCACAGCCCTGCTGATAGAAACAAACATGATGTACTTGAGTTCTCTCATGACAGCTGGGGTCTGCTGGTAATTCACCTTAAGTATGGGTGGAGGATATTGAAGTCTTAATCCCTTTACACTCAAGTTACCTCTTAGTGTACTCAATGCACCTCTGCTTTAGAAGTGGCTTTATTAGAAATAGCCTTCCATGAGTTATTCAGCACATCAATTGGCCAGTATATTGTGAGGGAGCAAGTCTGCAAGTGATGAAGCAACAATATGAGCACTATACTTCTCTTCCTCTCTCTACTGCCTCTATCCAACATTGTATTTACCAGGAAAACAACCTCTAGATTCAGCAAGAGTACACTGTACACATTTTCAATTAACTGTTAGCCCAGGTACTTTGCAGAACTAGTTTAAAATTTAAGTAGGTGATGCAGGAAGAACACATGCTACAACCTGAGAAGCAGCATATCAAGAAAATTATGTTGTACTAACTTTTAGAAGGGTGACAAGAGCTTTGGCCTTTTCTCGTACATTCATTCCCTGGTCCTTGTTCTCTTCTAAATACTGGAAGTCCTTTAGGGTTTGTATGGCATAAATGTTTTCTTTACACTGATCTGCCACCTGTAGAAAAGAAAACCTATGAAATACTTTTCAAAATCTAATTTAGTTGTGCACTGTTTCACAAATCAACTCAAGTAATGGGTGGGGTTGAAGCCCATACACAGCCATCTTAAAACTAGCAGGCCAGTGTACTAACTGATCTGACATAGGTTAAAACCTCGCCCATTCCGTGGTACAGTATTTACAATTGCGTTATTTTGATTTTGAGTCTTGTATCACAAATTTATATAATACTGTATGTGTATACAAAGTTACTAACTGTTCTAATGCTAATCTGAATAAAGTAGTGGTAATGATGGAGGAATTCAGGTATCTATTATTCAAGTTTGCCCAGAAGCAACAACAAAAAATTATTATAGTCATGAATAATTAGTAAACCTGCAGGGATCTTAATAGCAGTTAGCACGTTTTTCTCTATAGATTGTAATGTTTTACACATGTTAAAAAAACTTATGAAAACCTCATTAAAATCTAAAGGATTAGGCACTTTTGCTCTAAAATTATGGATTTGATCAAAGGACTAAGAGCTCTTCACCAGCATCAAGGCACCTACCCTTGAAGAGAGTGCTGGAAAGACAGCAAAATTTTTGCATACTAGAAGCAAGCAATTACTATGTCCTCTGAGCTTAGCTAAATTCTTTCTTTCTTCTTTCAACACACTGGCCGTATCCCATCGAGGCGGGGTGGCCCAAAAGGAAAAACGAAAGTTTCTCCTTTTACATTTAGTAATACAGTGGACCCTCGCCTAACGAACGCATCGCATAACGTTAAATCCACCTAATGAAGCATTTGAGTGTAAAAATTTTGGCCCGCTTAACGATAAAAAACTCGCCCAACGTGATTCCTCCCAAACCTGTCCGTCCAGCCTGAGCACCTCAGCTGCCTTGCCATCATTGTTTACAAGCCAGGGTGGCTGGCTGCATGCATATATCCGATACATTTTGTATTATTCCATTGTTTATAGTGCTTGTAACTGCTAAATAAGCCACCATGGGCCCAAAGAAAGCTTCTAGTGCCAGCCCTGTGGTAAAAAGGGTGAGAAATATCATACCGGAGTGAAGTGTTGCTGCACCACGGTCAGCTGTTGCTGCACCACCGTCAGCTGTTGCTGCACCATGGTCAACTGCTGCTGCACCACAGTCAGCTGTTGATGAACTACTGCCAGCTGCTGCTGCACCACAGTCAGCTGCTGCTGCACCATGGTGAACTGCTGCTGCACCACAGTCAGCTGTTGCTGAACCACGGTGAGCTGCTGCTGCACCACAGTCAGCTGCTGCTGCACCACCATCAGCTGTTTCTGACCAACTGACTCGTCCCGAACCTGTCCATCCAGGCCTGCGTTATTGTTTACAGCCAGGGTGGCCGGTTGCATGCATACATTCGATACATTTTGTATTATCTATTGTTATAGTGCTTGTATCTGCTAAATAAGGGCACCATGGGCCCAAAGAAAGCTTCTAGTGCCAACCCTGTGGTAAAAAGGTGAGAAATACTATCGTACCACAGTCAGCTGTGCTGCACCACCGTCAGCTGTTGCTGGACCAGTCAGCTGTTGCTGCACCATGGTCAGCTGTTGCTGACACATGGTCAGCTGTTGCGGACAGTCAGTGTTGCGGATCGCCAGCTGTTGCTGCACACGTCAGCTGTTCTGGACCAGTCAGTTGTTGCTGTGATCGTCATTTTGCTGGGTCAGTCAAGCTGCTGCTGGGCAGTCAGACTGTGCTGTATCAGTCAGCTGTTGCTGCACCATGGTCACTGTTTGGACCAGTCAGCTGTTGCTGGACCTGTCAGCTGTTGCTGCTGACCACAGTCAGCTGCTGCTGCACCACAGTCAGCCCTTTGGCTGCACCACCAAGCTGTCTACTCAAAGATGTGGAGTGTGTGTTGTTGGTGTGGCTTAAGTGAAAACAATTACCGAGAAACGATTAACCCCAGAGGGTTAGCCACCCGGATAACCCCAAAAAAGCCAGTGCATCATCGAGGACTGTAACTTATTTCCATTGGGGTCCTTAATCTTGTCCCCCAGGATGCGACCCACAACAGTCAACTAACACCCAGGTGAACAGGAAAAAATGCCTGGAACTAGTGCTCATATTGGTGAATTTAAGGCCAGCAAAGGTTGGTTTGAGAGATTTAAAAATTGTAGTGGCATACACAGTGTGATAAGGCATGGCAAAGCTGAAAAATTCATCCCCCAACAAGTGTTCAATTGTGACGAAACAGGCCTGTTCTGGAAGAAAATGTCAAACAGGACCTACATTACTCAGGAGGAAAAGGCACTCCCAGGACACAAGCCTGTGAAAGACAGGCTAACTCTCATGTTTTGTTGTAATGCTAGTGGGAATTGTAAAGTGAAGCCTTTACTCATGTATCACTGAAAATCCCAGAGTGTTCAAGAAAAACTGTCTCATCACTCATCAATACTCTTCAATAAAGGTAAGTGTCATTTTAACATTTATTTATGTGGTTATTGTGCATGTCTTATTGTTTTCTTTGTAGGGAAATGTATATTTCATGAAAAAAAAAACAAAAAAAAATTTTTAACACTTTTGGCTGTCTGGAACGGATTAATTGGATTTCCATTATTTCTTATGGGGAAAATTAACTCGGCTAACGATAATTTCGGCTAACAACGAGCTCTCAGGAACGGATTAATATCGTTAGGTGAGGGTCCACTGTATATACAGGAGAAGGGGTTACTAGCCCCTTGCTCCCGGCATTTTAGCCACCTCTTACAACACGCATGGCTTATGGAGGAATAATTCTGTTCCACTTCCCCATGGAGGTAAGAGGAAATAAACAAGAACTAGAAAGAAAATAGAAGAAAACCCAGAGGGGTGTGTATATATATGCTCGTACATGCCCGTGTAGTGTGACCTAAGTGTAAGTAGAAGTAGCAAGATGTACCTGAAATCTTGCATGTGTATGAGTCAGAAAAAAAAGACACCAGCAATCCTACCATCGTGTAAAACAATTACAGGCTTCCGTTTTACACTCACTTGGCAGGACGATAGTACCTTCCTGGGCGGTTGCTGTCTATTAACCTGCTACATAGACTTGGCTAAATTGTATTAATTTTTTATTTATTTATTTTATGTCTTTGCAAACAGTACATTGAGATTTTGTATTTACAATAGTGGGCTGCAATGCAAAGAGAGCCTCTATTAAGCCTAGGCATTATGGGCCAACTTAACCTTATTGGCTTACAGACTACTTAACACTAAGGATTATATCATAGTTGTACAGTAGGATAGTAATTATTTCATAGTTGTACAGTAGATTATTAATTATAAATGAATCAAAATTTGTATAAGACAAAAGATATATTCATATATTCGAAAATGCTTTTTGTGAAAACAATGATTCAATTATATTCCTGTCAACAATGGATAAAAGGTTCATAGTGATTGCTGAAGTTATGATGTGGGAGTACATAAGTATGTGTGTACTGAGTATTTAGCGTTTGGTCTAGGGTGATTAAGTGGCTTTTGAGAAGTCTTAAATTGATTTTCAGACTGGGTTACTTTAAAATCTTCTGGTATGAATTCCATATTTTGGGGCCCTTTATGTGCATAAAGTTTTTACACAGTGTGATATGGACACGAGGTATATCAAAAAGAGATCTGTGTCTTGTGTTGGTCATGTGTCCTGTTTAGGTTAATGAGAAGTTTGAGTGGAGGGTTTATATTTGCGTGTATTGTTCTGTGTATGTAGTAGGCACACGAATAAGTATGGATGTTCTTAATGGTAAGCAGATTCAGACGTTTGAAAATTGGTGGAGTATGCTGGCGGAAGTGGGAATTTGTTATCATTCTTACTGCTGCCTTTTGCTGGGTTATTAGGTGTTTTAGGTGACTGGATGTTGCTGATCCCCATGTACAAATTCCATATGTAAGATAAGGATATATGAGTGAATGGTACAGTGCCAGGAGAGCTGATTGTGGAATGTAGTACCTTATCCTTGACAGTATGCCTACAGTCTTGGAGATTTTCTTGGTGATTTATTGTGTGTCCGGAACTTAAGGCTACTGTCAAGGTGGATACCTAGGAGTTTTCCCTCTGTGAGTCTTGTGACTGATGATCCATTAAGCGTTATATTAACTGGATTATTTGCAGCTTTGTTTCCAAACTGAATGAGATAGGTTTTATCAGTGTTCAGGGTAAGTTTTTAAGTCATCATCCAGGCAGATATTTTCTGTAATTCGGTACTGACTGTTTGCTAGTATGACTGTGTTTGGGTGGGAAAAGACATATGTAGTATCATCTGCAAATAATATGGGTTTGAGTAGCTGTGATGCATTCGGTAGATCATTGATGTAGATGAGAAAGAGGAGTGGTCCAAGGACACTTCCTTCTAGCTGAAGGAATGTGTTCACCTTTTAGCAGTAGATAAAAAAGGCAGTGAATATAATTAACACCAGCATTTAAATTATCTGAAACTTTTCCATCTATGCCTGAGGATACATCAAGTAGTTTTTCTGGTTCCACATGTAAACTTGAGACATCAAAATTGATATATTTTTTTTAACATGCTGGCTCTCTCCTGCTGAGGTAGGGTGACCTGAAAAATAAACATTTTCACTGTCATTTACACTCTCACTTGTCTTGCCAGAGGTGTGCAGATATTATGTAGTGTTGTATCTGTACAGATAAAACAGTATCTGTGCACCTCTGGCAAGACAGTAATATTGTGAATGGTGGTGAAAGTGTTTCTTTTTCAGGTCACCCTGCTTCAGTGGGAGATGGCCAGCGTGTTAAAAAAAAAATGCAAAGCTACCAAAAGATTCCTTTAATATGCCAACCACCACCTATGCAACCATAACAGGGGTGGGATTTAATGTGTGTATGCTTGGAAGCTCAAGCAATCATTTTGGCCTTCCACTCAGGGAAATTCCAAGTAATTCATGGACACTGTCTCTAAAGCACTTGGAAAAATTAAGATGGTATGGCCATTTACAATGCTTGGTGTTGGGAAGATTGGAGAAAATGTACATAACATTAGATACAGGGGTTTCACTGTGCATTTCCAATGCTCTTCTAAGAAGTTCATGGTGAACTCTAGTTCAGAATGTCTTCCTTCAGCAATTTTTTTTTAAAAGTGCTATTATAGCATTATTTTGTCTGACTATGGGTGCAGATGAGACTGGATTTAAATAGAAATTCAAATTAAGTGTGCTTCTAAAGTTGCATAGACCGTCACAACCTTTTAACTCAACAATAATCAGCTGTGCAGTACCTGAGTTGTCAGAAACATCTGGCCTTTCCCTTTTTTACCCCCACACCCAACCACCCTTGAAGCCACACCACTGCTTATTAGTCATAACCTCAAGTATTAGTGAGGTGAAAGTCGGAAGGTAGAACAGTAAGACTCTTCAGTGTCACTAGTAATTATAATACCCTACAAATAACTTACCAAATAACATAATACTAGATCCCTCACACTTCTGTATTTATATGACTTTTACAACCCATAAACCCAACAACACATAAAATTGGATAATTAGCTCTGTTAACAACGATCTATTATGAATAGTTGCTATGTGTTGCATGGCAACCTGCTGAACTCTGGATTACTTAGCCTATCTGAACAATATGACTTGAGGGAGACAGCCAGCATGTTGAGAAATTAGCTCTGTTGGTTGACAGAATATAAATTGTCCAAATGACTGTTTTTGGTTTTAAAATACCAGTCTTCAAAGTGATTGAAGTTTCCATGCTCAAATGAGCCATACAAATATCATGAAGCATTTCTTCAATGTAAATGTGGTAAAATAGTGGAATGACCTCAGCAATGACAGTAGCAGCACACCTCATACAAGGGTTCAAAAATGCTCACGACTGGGCTATTTCACTTCAATCAGTTGAAAGTCAACACACACAATTAAAAGTTGAAGCTGAACCACCATCAACTCAAATGGATAGTTACATACTGGTTAGTTTCAATGTTTCTGATCTGTAAGTTTCTATTTATTGGATTAATACTAAAGTAATTTCAGCTTCTAAATCATTCACTGGCATGAGTGAAGCTGCAATACACAACCATCAGTTATTTTTCTTCTGCCAACTCAAGGAAAAAAAACCCACAATGGACATGAAAGAGAGGTGTTTGAAATACATGGAATGGAAGAAAATGCCAAACAAGACAAGCACAGGTCAGCAATAGTTGAGGCAGAGTCAGATGTTCAACCCTTGCACACACAGCTAGAAGAGTACATTACACACCTGAAGACATAGTAGGTCTCTTGGACTCACCTTCTCACTACCAGTCTTAATGAGGTATTCTAACAATACAAGAGCTTTGTAAACATGTCTCCAGTTGCGGCCGTGGTCATTCAGCCGTTTCCAGATCATCTGCATAATTTCTGTGAAGGCCACCACATTGTAAGTAAGGTCAGCAACTTCAGACATAAGGGTAGAAGAGGGTCCCCATGGGTCATTACTCGTTGCCTCACGCACTTTAATCTGTAATTAAAAGTGGCAATATCTGAGACACCAACAAATGTATCAAGAATTACATGTGATCAACAAGTGGGAAGTGGAATAAGAATCTTTCCACCATAAGCCATGCATGTTGTAAAAGTCAACTAAAATGCCAGGAACAATAGGCTAGTAACCCCTTTTCCCATATAGCTTACTAAAAAGAAAAAGAAGAAAAGTCAAAGTGGGATGTTTGAATGTGAATGGATGTTGTGCGAAATGATAAGATGATTGTGGACTTTTTGAATGAGAAGAAGGTGGATGTCCTGGCTTTAAGTGAAACAAAGCTGAAGGGGGCAGGAGAGTTTCAGTGTGGAGAAATAAATGGGATTAGGTCAGGGGTTTCAAATAGAGTTAGAGCTAAAGAAGGAGTAGCAATAATGTTGAAGGATAAGTTATGGCAGGAAAAGAGAGAATATAAATGTATAAATTCAAGGATCATGTGTTGTAAAACAAAGGTTGGATGTGAAGAGTGGGTTATAGTAAGTGTTTATGCAACTGGAGAAGAGAGAAGTGTAGAGGAGAGAGAGAGATTTTGGGAAATGTTGAGTGTGTGTGGGGAGTTTTGAACCAAATGAGAGAGTACTTGTGGTTGGGGATCTCAATGCTAAAGTGGGTAAAAATGTTGTGGAGGATGTAGTAGGTAAATCTGGAGTGCCAGGGGTAAATGAAAATGGGGAGCCTTTGAGCTGTGTGTAGAAAGAGGTTTGGCAATAATATATATTTTATGAAAAAGAGGATAAATAAGTATACAAGGTATGATATAGAATGTAATGAAAGTAGCTTGTTAGATTATGTATTGGTGGATAAAAGGTTGATGGGTAGGCTTCAGGATGTATATGTTTATAGAGGGGCAACGGATATATCGGATCATTATTTAGTTGTAGACAGAGTAAGAGGTAGATGTGACAAAAGGAAAATGGCAACAGCAAGTAAGAGAGAGGTGAAAGTGTATAAACTAAGGGAGGAGGAAGTTAGGGTGAGATATAAGCAACTATTGGCAGAAAGGTGGGCTAATGCAAGTATGAGTAGTGGGGGAAGGGGGTGAAGAGAGTTAGGATAGTCTTAAAAATGTAGTATTAGATTGTGGGGCAGAAGTCTGTGACTATAGGAGGGTGAGTGCAGGAGGAAAGAGGAGAGATTGGTGGAATGATGGTGTGATAAAAGAGAAAAAGATAGCTTATGAGAAGTTTTTACAAAGCAGAAGTGCTGTAAGAAGAGCAGAGTATATGAAGAGCAAAAGAAAGGTGAAGAGAGTGGTGAGAGTGCAAAAGGAGAGCAGATGAGAGAGTGGGAGAGGCATTAGCAAGAAATTTTGCTGAAAATAAGAAAAATTTTTGGAGTGAGATTAACAAGTTAAGAAAGCCCAGGGAATGAATGAATTTGTCAGTTAAAAACAGAGTAGGGGAGTTAGTAGATGGGGAGCGGGAGGTACTGGGTAGATGGCGGGAATATCCTGAGGAACTTTTAAATGTGGATGATGAAAGGGAGGCAGTAATTTCTTGCACTGGTCAGGGAGATATAACATCTTTTAGGAGTGAAGAAGAACAGGATGTAAGTGTGGGGTGGTGCGTGAGGCATTACGTAGAAAGAAAGGGGGTAAAGCAGCAGGAACTGATGGGATCATGACAGAAATGTTAAAAGCAGGGGGGGATAGTGTGTTGGAGTGGTTGGTATTTTTGTTTAATGAATGTATGAAAGAGGGGAAGGTACCTAGGGATTGGCAGTGTGTATAGTTCCTTTATATAAAGGGAAGGGGGACAAAAGAGATTGTAAAAATTATAGGGGAAGAAGTTTACTGAGTATATCAAGTAAAATATATGATAGGGTTATTATTGAAAGAATTAGAGGTAAGAGAGAGTGGGATTGCAGATGAGCAAGGAGGCCTCAGAGTGGGTAGGGGATGTGTAGATCAAGTGTTTACACTGAAGCATATAAGTATTTAGATAAAGGTAGGGAAGTTTTCATTGCATTTATGGAGTTAGAAAAGGCATATGATAGAGTGGATAGGGGAGCAATGTGGCAAATGTTGCAAGCATTATTTCACCATTCATTTATAGACCCCCATATGAGCTTTGGCATTTAACCGAAAATAATATGTACTGGCAATAAATAGTAGTAGGTTGGTAGACAGCAACCACCCAGGGAGGTACTACCGTCCTGCCAAGTGAGTGTAAAATGAAAGCCTGTAATTGTTTTACATGATGGTAGGATTGCTGGTGTCTTTTGTCTGTCTCATAAATATGCAAGATTACAGGCATGTCTTGCTACTTCTACTTACACTTAGGTCACACTACACATACATGTACACGTTTATTTATACACACTCATCTGAGTTTTCTTTGATTTTATCTTAATAGTTCTTGGTCTTATTACTTTTCCTTTTATATCCACGAGGAAGTGGAATAAGAATCTTTCCTCCGTAAGCCATGCGTGTTGTAAAAGTCAACTAAAATGCCGGGAACAATGGGCTAGTAACCCCTTTTCCTGTAAAGATTACTAAAAAGAATAAGAAGAAGAAAATTGTCAAAGTGGGAAGTCTGAATGTGCGTGGATGTTGTGCAAATGATAAGAAAGAGATGATTGTGGATGTTATGAATGAGAAGAAACTGGATGTCCTGGCTTTAAGTGAAACAAAGCTGAAGGAAGTGGGAGAGTTTCAATGGAGAGGAATAAATGGGATTAGGTCAGGGGTTTCAAATAGAGTTAGAGCTAAAGAAGGAGTAGCAATAATGTTGAAGGATAAGCTATGGCAGGAAAAGAGAGACTACAAATGTATAAATTCAAGGATTATGTGGAGTAAAATAAAGATTGGATGTGAGAAGTGGGTTATAGTATGCGTGTATGCACCTGGAGAAGAGAGAAGTGTAGAGGAGAGAGAGAGATTCTGGGAAATGTTGAGTGAATGCATGGGGAGTTTTGAATCAAGTGTGAGAGTAATGGTGGTTGGGGATTTCAATGCTAAAGTGGGTAAAAATGTTATGGAGGGAGTAGTAGGTAAATTTGGGGTGCCAGGGGTAAATGTAAATGGGGAGCCTTTAATTGAGCTATGTGTAGAAAGAAATTTGGTAATAAGTAATACATATTTTATGAAAAAGAGGATAAATAAATATACAAGGTATGATGTAGCATGTAATGAAAGTAGTTTGTTAGATTATGTATTGGTGGATAAAAGGTTGATGGGTAGGCTCCAGGATGTACATGTTTATAGAGGGGCAACTGATATATCGGATCATTATTTAGTTGTAGCTACAGTTAGAGTAAGAGGTAGATGGGAAAAGAGGAAGGTGGCAACAACAAGTAAAAGGGAGGTGAAAGTGTATAAACTAAGGGAGGAGGAAGTTCGGGCGAGATATAAGCGACTATTGGCAGAAACGTGGGCTAGTGCAAAGATGAGTAGTGGGGGGGTTGAAGAGGGTTGGAATAGTTTTAAAAATGCAGTATTAGAATGTGGGGCAGAAGTTTGTGGTTATAGGAGGGTGGGGGCAGGAGGAAAGAGGAGTGATTGGTGGAATGATGAAGTAAAGGGTGTGATAAAAGAGAAAAAGGTAGCTTACGAGAGGTTTTTACAAAGCAGAAGTGTTATAAGAAGAGCAGAGTATATGGAGAGTAAAAGAAAGGTGAAGAGAGTGGTGAGAGAGTGCAAAAGGAGAGCAGTTGAAAGAGTGGGAGAGGCACTGTCAAGAAATTTTAATGAAAATAAGAAAAAATTTTGGAGTGAGTTAAACAAGTTAAGAAAGCCTAGGGAAAGTATGGATTTGTCAGTTAAAAACAGAGTAGGGGAGTTAGTAGATGAGGAGAGGGAGGTATTAGGTAGATGGCGAGAATATTTTGAGGAACTTTTAAATGTCGAGGAAGAAAGGGAGGCAGTAATTTCATGCACTGGCAAGGGAGTTATACCATCTTTTAGGAGTGAAAAAGAGCAGAATGTAAGTGTGGTGGAGGTACGTGAGGCATTACGTAGAATGAAAGGGGGTAAAGCAGCTGGAACTGATGGGATCATGACAGAAATGTTAAAAGCAGGGGGGGGATATAGTGTTGGAGTGGTTGGTACTTTTGTTTAATAAAGAGATTGTAAAAATTATAGAGGAATAAGTTTACTGAGTATACCAGGAAAAGTATACGGTAAGGTTATAATTGAAAGAATTAGAGGTAAGACAGAATGTAGGATTGCGGATGAGCAGGGAGGCTTCAGAGTGGGTAGGTGATGTGTAGATCAAGTGTTTACATTGAAGCATATATGTGAACAGTATTTAGATAAAGGTAGGGAAGTTTTTATTGCATTTATGGATTTAGAAAAGGCATATGATAGAGTGGATAGAGGAGCAATGTGGCAGATGTTGCAAGTATACGGAATAGGTGTTAAGTTACTAAATGCTGTAAAGAGCTTTTATGAGGATAGTGAGGCTCAGGTTAGGGTGTGTAGAAGAGAGGGAGAATACTTCCCGGTAAAAGTAGGTCTTAGACAGGGATGTGTAATGTCACCATGGTTGTTTATATATTTATAGATGGGTTGTAAAAGAAGTAAATGCAAGGGTGTTCGGAGAGGGGTGGGATTAAATTATGGGGAATCAAATTCAAAATGGGAATTGACACAGTTACTTTTTGCTGATGATACTGTGCTTATGGGAGATTCTAAAGAAAAATTGCAAAGGTTAGTGGATGAGTTTGAGAATGTGTGTAAAGGTAGAAAGTTGAAAGTGAACATAGAAAAGAGTAAGGTGATGAGGATATCAAATGATTCAGATAAAGAAAAATTGGATATCAAATTGGGGAGGAGGAGTATGGAAGAAGTGAATGTTTTCAGATACTTGGGAGTTGACGTGTCGGCGGATGGATTTATGAAGGATGAGGTTAATCATAGAATTGATGAGGGAAAAAAGATGAGTGGTGCGTTGAGGTATATGTGGAGTCAAAAAACGTTATCTGTGGAGGCAAAGAAGGGAATGTATGAAAGTATAGTAGTACCAACACTCTTATATGGGTGTGAAGCTTGGGTGGTAAATGCAGCAGCGAGGAGACGGTTGGAGGCAGTGGAGATGTCCTGTTTAAGGGCAATGTGTGGTGTAAATATTATGCAGAAAATTCGGAGTGTGGAAATTAGGAGAAGGTGTGGAGTTAATAAAAGTATTAGTCAGAGGGCAGAAGAGGGGTTGTTGAGGTGGTTTGGTCATTTAGAGAGAATGGATCAAAGTAGAATGACATGGAAAGCATATAAATCTATAGGGGAAGGAAGGAGGGGTAGGGGTCGTCCTCGAAAGGGTTGGAAAGAGGGGGTAAAGGAGGTTTTGTGGGCGAGGGGCTTGGACTTCCAGCAAGCGTGCATGAGCATGTTAGATAGGAGTGAATGGAGACGAATGATGCTTGGGACCTGACGATCTGTTGGAGTGTGAGCAGGGTAATATTTAGTGAAGGGATTCAGGGAAACCGGTTATTTTCATATAGTCGGACTTGAGTCCCGGAAATGGGAAGTACAATGCCTGCACTTTAAAGGAGGGGTTTGGGATATTGGCAGTTTGGAGGGATATGTTGTGTATCTTTATACGTATATGCTTCTAAACTGTTGTATTCTGAGCACCTCTGCAAAAGCAGTGATAATGTGTGCATGTGGTGAAAGTGTTGAATGATGATGAAAGTATTTTCTTTTTGGGGATTTTCTTTCTTTTTTGGGTCACCCTGCCTCGGTGGGAGATGGCCGACTTGTTGAAGAAAAAAAAAAAAATAAATAAAAATGTTACTGTTGAGAAATGCAACCAATGGGGAGCCCCAAGGATCAGTGCTTACCCTAGCAATGTTTTCTGTATACTGTGATTGGTGTATGGCAAGCCACCCTTCCCAATGGTCTCTCATAAATACAAAAGTGTAATACTGTACTGTAGTGTGTTTTGATATTATTATACTTACAAAAAGAGAGAAATGCTTAGCATGTTTAGCTGTGGTTTAAGTCATCAATAGAATAAAGTTCCTGAACATTTGAGTCAAGTCTGTAGCTGAAACCCAGTGACTGTGACTGACCCATAGACTGAGCAGCAGCTGGATACTGAATTATGAATCTAAAACTGCCTTTGATAAGTAGCTGCAAGGACAAGACAGTACCAGAGGAAACTGCTGGCTACATCTTGCCTCAGTTGGGAGGGAAGACAGGAGAGAGGGGGGGAAAAAGAGAGGGTTAAAGAAAAAAGATAAAGAAGAGAAAGAAAAAGGAAAAGAGAAAAATAAAAGGAAAAGAAAAATAGAAAGAGAGAGAAAAACTGAGATAGTAAAAAAAAAGTGTAATAGTGAGAGGGGGAGTGGGGGAGGCAATTTCTCATGAATATAGAACATAGCTATAAACTCCATCCCTCCCAAACAATTAGCAAGAATCAAATACAGGAGCTTATTTCCCCAGTCAGCATCTCTTGTTATAACATAGATTTACTGGAAAATACCATAATATGCTCAGCATATTTTTCATTTAACAAACCTGTCTGTCTGGTCCCTAGCCAGGTTGTTGAATAAAGGTCAAGTGTAGCTAGATATAAGGATTTCTTAGCACCACCACTAGAAAGTGGTTTTAAACTGAAAAAGTGCCAAGAGGTTACTGGAAAGTTTGACACTTGGGACACCACACAGCTCTGTTGCTCTACTCAGAGGCATTATATCCAGTAATTAAAGGTATAATAGTATAGAGTTTGCACTCTGAAAGAGGGGTGCTGATGTTGCAGTTTTTTAACTGTACTGTAGGCATGCCTCTGGCAAGACAGTAAGAGTGAATAATGAAAGTGTTTCTTTTTTTTGGGTCACCCTGCCTGGGTGAGAAGCGGCCAACATGTTAATGATGAGGATAAAAAAAAAAAATAGGCATCAATGTAATTAATTTAAAAGGGTATGTTGCAGTTCTGAGGGTCAGGTGAACTCTAAGTGCCACACTTTGGCAAAACATCTATTAAGTGAATGACAGTAAACAAGTTCCCTTGTTTTGGGTCACCCTCCCATGGTGGAAAAAGGTCAATGTAATAATAACAATAATAACTAAAAAAATTAGCAATATTTTCTTTACTAGTTTTAATGACAGTATACTAACTGAAAAAAGTGAGAGTATAGTCTTACCTGCGCATCTGTGTAATTGTGGGCAATATTTTTCAAATTTCGGCGTATACCCGACACATTCATCTGCAGTGCCATCTCCGAGTTGCTTAAGGCTTGCTAGCACGTATCCAAATGTATCGTGTGCTCTTACTATCAAGTGGTCATTGAAGTCGGTTCTCATGCATTACGACTCCTTCACCCTCCAACTGTGTGCCAACACTACTGAAATTTGAAAAATAGTACAGTGCAACCTTTTTTATTTCTCTGGGCATCAACTCTAACATAAATACTGAAAATAACATCTCTACACTGTGATAGAGTGCAGTAAACATTAACAAGTTTTGTTTGTCGAGTGGACAAGCATGTTTGCAGGTACATATAACATGTTCCAATATATATCAATGTACTGTATACCCCTTCAACCGTTTAGTGCTATAGTACACGAGTTTCACTTCACCCATCTTCTCCCCCCATTAAGTTACTTTCTCTACAGTAGCCTTAATTATAACTTCCATATTTCCTATATTAAACAGTTTAACTTCTACCTCAGCAATAAGGCAATCTTGTTTAGCATTAATATGTACAGTAGTAGACAGGCTGGTAGACAGTAACCGCCCAGGGAGGTACTACCATACTGCCAAGCCAGTGTAAAACGGAAACCTGTATTTGTTTTACATGATGGTAGGATTATGGGTGTCTTTTTTCTGTCTCATAAACATGCAAGATTTCAGGCACAATATACACATACTCATCCGAATTTTCTTTGATTATATCTTAATAGTTCTTTTTCTTATTGCTTTTCCTTTCATATCCATGGGGAATGGAATAAGAATCTTTCCCCCGTAAGCCAAGCATGTTGTAAAAGTCGACTAAAATGCCAGGAGCAATGGGCTAGTAACCCCTTTTCCAATATAACCTACTAAAAAGAAAAAGAAGAAAACCGTCAAAGTGGGATGCTTGAATGTGCATGGTTGTAGTGCGAATGATAAGAAAGAGATGATTGTGGATGTTATGAATGAAAAGAAGCTGTATGTCCTGGCTCTAAGTGAGACAAAGTTGATGGGAGTAGGAGAGTTTCAGTGGGGAAAAATAAATAAGATTTGGTCAGGGGTTTCTAACAGAGTTAGAGCTAAAGAAGGAATAGCAATAATGTTGAAAGATAAGTTATGACAGGAAAGGAAGGAATATAAATTTATCAATTCAAGGATTATGTGGAGTAAAATAAGGGCTGATGTGAAAAGTGGGTTACAGTAAGTGTTTATGCACCTGGAGAAGAGAGAAGTGTAGAGGAGAGAGAGAGGAGAGAGAGAAGTGTAGAGGGGAAGAGAGAGGAGAGAGAGAGAGAGAGAGAGAGAGAGAGAGGGGAGAGGAGAGAAGAGAGAGAGGGGGAGAGGAGAGAGAGGGAGAGAGAGAGAGGAGAGAGAGGAGAGAGAGGAGGAGAGGAGAGAGGAGAGAGAGAGAGAGAGGAGAGAGAGAGAGAGAGAGAGGAGAGAGAGGAGAGAAGAGAGAGAGAGGAGAGGAGAGAGGAGGAGAGAGAGAGAGAGAGAGAGAAGAGGAGAGAGAGAGAGAGAGAGAGAGAGAGAGAGAGAGAGAGAGAGAGAGAGAGGAGAGAGAGGAGAGAGAGAGAGAGAGGAGAGAGAGGAGAGAGAGAGGAGAGGAGAGGAGAGGAGGAGAGGAGAGAGAGGAGAGAGAGTGAGAGTGAGAGTGAGAGTGAGAGAGAGAGTGAGAGAGAGTGAGAGAGAGTGAGAGAGTGAGAGAGAGAGAGAGAAGAGAGAGGAGAGAGGAGGAGAGTGAGAGAGAGTGAGAGAGAGAGAGAGAGAGAGAGAGAGAGAGAGAGAGAGAGAGAGAGAGAGAGGAGGAGAGATGAGAGAGTGAGAGAGTGAGAGAGTGAGAGAGTGAGAGAGAGAGAGAGAGAGAGAGACTATGGGAAACGTTGAGTGAGTGCATGGGAAGCTTTGAACAAAGTGAGAGTACTTGTGGTTGGGGATCTCAATGATAAAGTGGGTAAAAATATTGTAGAGGGAGTAGTTGGTAAATTTGGGGTGTCAGGAGTAAAAGAAAATGGGGAGCCTTTAATTGAACTATGTGTAGAAAGAGGTCTGGCAATAAGTAATACATACTTTATGAAAAGGAGGATAAATAAGTATACAAGATATGATATAGCATGTAATGAGAGTAGTTTGTTAGATTATGTATTGATGGATATAAGGTTGATGGGTAGGCTTCAAGATGTACATGTTTATAGAGGGGCAACAAACATGTTGGATCATTATCTAGTTGTAGTTACAGTTAGAGTAAGAGGTAGATGGGACAAAAGGAAAATGACTAACAGTAAGTAAGAGAGAGGTGAAAGTGTATAAACAAAGGGAGGAGGAAGTTAGGGTGAGATATAAGCAACTACTGGCAGAAAAGCGTGCTAGTGCAAGTATGGGTAGTGAGGGGGTTGAAGAAGGATGGGATAGTTTAAAAAATGAAGTGCTAGAACCTGGGGCAGAAGTTTGTGGGTATAGGAGGGTGGGTGCAGGAGGAAAGAGGAGTGATTAGTGGAATGGAGAGGTAAAGGATGCGATAGAGAAAAAGGTAGCTTACTAGAGGTTTCTATAAAGCAGAAGTGATATAAGAAGGACACAGTATATGGAGAGTAAAAGAAAGGTGAAGAGAGTGGTGAGAGAGTGCAAAAGGAGAGCAGATGAAAGAGTGGGAGAGGCACTGGCAAGAAATTTTGCTGAGAATAAGAAAAAATTTTGGAGTGAGATAAGTTAAGAAAGCCAAGGGAACTAATGGATTTGTCAGTTAAAAACAGAGTAGCAGAGTTAGTAGATGGGGAGCTGGAGGTATTGGGTAGATGGCAGGAATATTTTAAGGAACTTTGAAGGGAGGCAGTAATTTCATGTACTGGCCAGGGAGATATAACATCTTTTAGGAGTGAAGAAGAGCAGGATATGAGTGTGGTGGAGGTGCGTGAGGCATTACATAGAATGAAAGGGGGTAAAGCAGCTGGAACTGACGGGATCATGACAGAAATGTTAACAGCAGGGGGAGTCAGTGTTGGAGTGATTGGTATTTTTGTTTAATAAATGTATGAAAGAGGGGAAGGTACCTAGGAATTGGCAGTGTGTGTGTATAATTCCTTTATATAAAGGGAAGGGGGACAAAAGAGATTGTAAAAATTATAGAGAATAAGTTTATTGAGTGTAGGTAGTAGGTTGGTAGACAGCAACCACCCAGGGAGGTACTACCGTCCTGCCAAGTGAAATTACGAATTTGGGTGGGTGTGTAAAGGTAGAAAGTTGAAAGTGAACATAGATTAGAGTAAGGTGATGAGGGTATCAAACGATTTAGATAAAGAAAAATTGGGTATCACATTGGAGGGAGGGGGAGTATGGAAGAAGTGAATATTTTTAGATATTTGGGAATTGATTTGTCAGCAGATGGATTTATGAAAGATGAGGTTAACTATAAAACTGATGAAGGAAAACAGGTGAGTAGTGCACTAACATATCTGTGGACAAAAAACGTTATCCATGGAGGCAAAGAAGGAAATGTATGAGAGTATAGTGGTACCAACACTTATATGGGTGTGAAGCATGGGCTGTAAATGCTGCAGCGAGGAGGTGGCTGGAGGCAGTGGTGCTGTCCTGTCTAAGGGCAATGTGTGGTGTAAATATTATGCAGAAAATTCGTGGTGTGAAAATTAGGTGTGGACTTACTAAAATATTAGTCAGAGGGTTGAAGAGGGGCTGTTGAGATGGTTTGGTCATTTAGAGACAATGGAACGAAGTAGAATGACGGAGAGCGAATAAATCTTTAGGAGAATGAAGTCGGGGTAGGGGTCATCCCTGAAAAGGTTGGAGGGAAAGGGTAAAGGAGGTTTAGTGGGTGAGGGGGATTGGACTTCCAGCAAGCATGCATGAGTGTGTTAGATAGGAGTGAAAGGAGAGAAGTGGTTTTTGGGACCCAACAAGCGGTTGGAGCATGAGCAAGGTAATATTTTGTGAAGGAATTCAGGGAAACTGGTTAGCCAGACTTAGAGTTCTGGAAATGTGAAGTACAATGCCTGTACTTTAAAGATGTTTGGGATGTTGGCAAGTTGGAGGGAAGTCCAAGCTGTCATGTCTAAGCGCCTCTGCAAAGACAGTGATTATGTGTGAGTGATGGTGAAAGTGTTGAATGATGATGAAAGTTTTTTCTTTCTTTTGGGAGTTTTCTTGTTGGGTCATCCTGCCTTGGTGGGAAACTTCTGACGTGTTAAAAAAAAAGTACAGTAACTATCCAAATAACGAATAAATTGAAAAATAGTTTCTCACTGAGCACAACATACAGGTAATAGTAATTCTGGAAAATAAAGACAAGATTTTTTTGCAGTGGCTGTATCAATAAGAGACAATTCTGTAATCAACTGACCTTGCTTAATGATTGCAAATCAATTTACCCAGAGGATTCTGTCCCATATTTTTGACATCCTTTAAATTGTGTTCCATTAAACTAAGGGTGTACTTTTACATACTATACAGTATACTGCACTGCTGTCTGAGAAAACTGGCTACAAATACACCTACCATCCGACTTACAACCGAGTTCGGTTCCGAAAAACCGGTCGTAAGTCGAAATGGTCGTAAGTCGAACTTTACTATTGAATATCAACAAAACATTTTTGTAATGACTTTATTTTGTTTTATTTTGGTATTTCAGGTTTTACTTTACTTTTTATGTTGTTAGTACTGTATTTTATACTGTAAGGTTTAGGATAAACAATGTGTACAACACAAATAGTTGATTATTTGACTCAAGAAATCGTAATGACACGATTGCAAACAAACCATACCCCCGGCCGGGATTGAACCCGCGGTCATAGTCTCAAAACTCCAGCCCATCGCGTTAGCCACTAGACCAGCTAGCCACAATAAGATTCATCCAACTAGGTATATTTCTACACCATAGGAAGGTTAGCACAGGCACCTCTGTGACCGCGGGTTCAATCCCGGCCGGGGGTATGGTTTGTTTGCAATCGTGTCATTACGATTTCTTGAGTCATGTTGACGGCAGTGATCGTAATGACACGATTGCAAACAAACCATAGCCCCGGCCGGGATTGAACCCGCGGTCACAGAGGTGCCTGTGCTAACCTTCCTATGGTGTAGAAATATACCTAGTTGGATGAATCTTATTGTGGCTAGCTGGTCTAGTGGCTAACGCAACGGGCTGGAGTTTTGAGACTCTATGACTGCAGGTTCAATCCCGGCCGGGGGTATGGTTTAGTTGATTATTTCCCAGAAATTTGGCATAAAAAACACGGTCTAAGTCGAGTGGTCGTAAGTCGAGCAGGTCGTAAGTCAGATGGTAGGTGTATGTATACTGTATCTGCATACACAAATTCAAAGTGGTTCATATTCAGAGCCACATGGCAAACATCAGCCAAAATATCTTGGGAGCTTATGTGCCAAATTTAGGCAAAGAAAAAAAAAAAAAAAGCTTCAGCCCCATCAACGAAGATATTTAATAACAAAATATGAGGTGTAGCTCAAGGGTGGTATTTTATGGGAAGAAAATGTTAGTGTTACTGTAAAACAGTATTCCAGGCAGCAGTGACAGTGATATCAGTTAGTGGTGATATTTATAACATATTAAAGGAGGGGTTTGAGATACTGGCTGTTAGGAGTGACATCTAAACTGCCATATTTGAGCACCTCTGCAAAGACAGTGATTGTGTTTCCTTTCTTGGGTCACCCTGCCATGGTGAGAGACAGCCGGCACTTTAAAAAAAAAAGTAAATTAAACAGGTATGAGACCCATATGACCCAGTTGAACAATTCCGTGAAAAATTGGAGTGTACAGAAAATATTATATAGCAGTGATATTTTATTTGTCAATCACTGCTCCATATAGTACTTCCAATAAAAGATAAACACAAAGTGCTATTTTACAAGTAAATTGTAAAAACAAATACATGCTTAACCCTTACCAGTGTCTAACATACAAGTACGCAGGCGAGGCCAGTTTCCAACATACTACTAGTACACAATTTTTACATGGCTTCGAATTCACTACATGCCAATATATTTGACCTCAGCACATCTGTTTGGTCTCTCCTACAACCTCATCATGCTTTTGAAAAATCTAAGACCAGATGGGTCCATGTAATGTATCTTGGGTAATACTGCCTAGTTAACACAAGTAAACAATAAAACCAGGAACTGTTGTTCCACCATCAGCTTCCCTACCAACAAACAGGGTGTGGAGCTGACAGGAAGATGACTTATTCATTCCAAATTCATTAATTCAGAACAATAATAATAACAACCTTTTTTTTCATTCTTTTCATGATTTATTTCCATGTTTCAATGAGTATTATGCCTTGAAACAATTTTAACACTTTTAAATTGCCTTGTAAACATGTTTGACAGAGATCTTGAAGGCACAGGTATTATGGTCACACAATTACATTATGTTTATATAACCCAGGATATTCCCTTAAACCTAAACCTTTATTTTTTTCCAACACAATGGCAGTCTCCCACTGAGGCAGGGTGACCAAAAAAAGAAAAACACTTTCACCATCATTCACACAATCTGTCTTTGCAGAGGCGTGCAGATATGACAATACAGATGTCACTCTAAACAGCAAATATCCCAAACCCCTTCTTTAAGGTGTAGGCACTGTACTTCCCACCTCCAAGACTCAAGTCTGGCTAACCAGTTTCCCTGAATCCTTTCACAAAATATTACCCTGCTTGCACTCAAACAGCTCATCAAGTCCCAAAAACCATTCGTCTTCACTCACTCCTATCTAGCATGCTCACACATGCCTGCTGTATGTTCAAGTTCCTTGCACACAAAACCTCTTTTACTCCCTCCATCCTTTCCTACGAAGACCCGTACCCCTCCTTCCCTCCACTACAGATGTATACACCCTCCAAGTCATCCTATTTTGCTTCAAGCTCTCTAAAAGACCAAACCCCCTCAACAACCTCTCCTCAGCCCTCTGAATAATACTTTTAGCAACTCTACACCTCCTCCAAATTTGCATGCTAAATTGTTTTTTAACCGGCTGTATCTCACCGAGGCAGAGTGACCTAAAATTTAGTAATTTATACAGGAGAAGGGGTTCCTAGCCCCTTGCTCCCAGCATTTTAGTCAACTCTTATGACAAGCATGGCTCAGAGGAAGAATTTTGTCCCACATCCCCATGGAGATAAGAGGAAATAAAGAACAAGAACTATTACAAACATAAAAGAAAATCAGAGGGGTATGTATATATATGCGTAAACATGCACATCCATACTAAATATATAACCTACTCATTGTAGCCAGTGACTTATCTCTATGTTTTGCAGAGTATTACACCTTGAAACAATTGTAATATCACAATTATTCCTTGTACATAGTGTTAAAATATCAAAGTAGTAAAAAACTGAATAAAAATGATTTGTACTAATTTCTACTCTACATTCCATGTGGAGCAAAATCAAGCTAAACACTTCCCAATGTTTGAAGTGTTAAAATACCTTGAAACACAACTATCAAACTAGTGCTCATAATGTTAAACATTAAAACCAATTAAATTCTAAAAACGATCATAATTTGGCATCAATAAATTGTAAAATAAATATCGCTGGTGCATTTATGCCGCTGTTGCCAGTGAGTGAATTTTTCACCAACTTCAACAAACCATAAAATGTTAAGCTTTCATCATATTCCACTTGTTTTAGTCTTATATGATTTATAATAACATACTCAATATGGAGGAATTTATTTTTCAAAATCTCCCACATATACACATGTGAAAATTTATCTTCCAAGCATGCCACAGTCAAAGGGTAAAAACAAGTATACAGTAATAATGAGATGTACTATACCTGGCTACTAGATGAGCTGGATGTTCTTAAAAGATCTTAGTCTGTGCAAAAACAAGCTACAAATAATTATCTCAACTTCATTCAGTGCCTTCAGTATCAAAACTGCACAAAGTATTTCCTGCACCAGTACGTGCTACACAAACTTATTGAGAGACTCGAGGGCACACAAAGGGTTGACTTGCTTCTTCGCACTTGCAGGGCTTCCTACATGTTGTGTGTAGTTTCTCACACACTGCTTCCGCTTCTGAAAATGAGAATTTATTTCACTTGTTAACAAATACAAACACAAATAATTTCTTTTTCTGCATTATGCAGGTAATGTACTTTACATGTAATAAAATATAGTAAAGCACAAAAGAAAGTCACTAGCATTCAGTGCATTTTGGGTAAACTAATTACTACAACATCTAAAGGACAAAAAAGCACAAAACCGTGACTGGAACAATACTCAAATAACCCACACTTAGGAGAGAAGCATACGATGACATTTCGGTCCGACTTAGACCATTTACACACTGCCTTTGTAAATGGTGCAAGTCAGACTGAACGTCACTTTAAGCTTCTCTCTCTCCCACGAGCGGGTTATTTGTGTACATTATCTTTCAATTCTCCCATTGCTTTAATCAATAAAAATTTTATACAAGAGGTGAACCCTTATAAATACCCTTTCACTGTTGGTGCCATAGTACTACGACTTACAAGTCAGTGTTGGTGCCATAGAACGCCAAAATTCTAGTGGCTTCAATTCTAGCGGGAGAAAGATGGTAGACCTACATACGAGAGAATGGGTCTAAGTGGTCAGTGTGCGCAGTATAAAAAAACATCCTGCAGCACGTAGTGCATGAGAAAAAAAAAGTGTGTTTTTGGTTTAAAACACTGACTTTGTGGTGTATATGGTATTTATGGTCGTATTCTCATTTTCATGGCCTCATTTGATAGAATGGAAGATATATTACAGTAATTGAGATGATTCTGTATGGTTTTCAGACTAAAAGTACCTTGAAATTGAGCTCAAAGTAGCAGAAATGTTTAATTTTTGCTGATGTTCAAGAGTAAACAAATCACATCAGGCATCCAACACGCGTCAACTGGTGAGCCTAATATTCTTTCACAAATGAGCTGATATTGTTCATACCATTTTTACAATAATACAGTAGTCTCAATAACAGTAAATCTTCTACTTTTTTGTGTGAATAAAAATTCAAAATGGAAAGCAAGTGTAATGTAAGAGGGGCCTGGAGATGTGACTAATGAACAGAGAAAATGTTATTTTAGTGCTAGGAATATCTGCATTGTTTATTCTGGCCCCTATTTTGAAAATGGCCTTACGTACTTGAATTATGAAATTGGCAAAATTACCAATTTCTGATCACTTTATTGGGTAGTTGAAATCAGTAAATGAGCAGTTTCTTGTACTCATTCGATAGAACGAATGTAGTTCTAGCGAAATAGCCAAGTTTGGTAGACCAGAACAATGGAATTGGCCAAAAATAGGGCTCAAAATGGGCAAAGTCCCCGATGCATAAATATCGCCGAGACAGCCTACTTCACAAGAGCATAATTCCGTAAGTTTTCCATCAAATTTCGTACTTTTGGTGTTATTACCATCAGGTAAAGATTCTATATCATTTCATAAGAAATACGTAGTTTTTTGTTTTTTTTTGGGGAAAATTTTTCGACACTGAGAGCAAGTTTGTGAGCAGGGGTCTCAACAGTTAACCCTTTGACTGTTGAGGTCATATATATATGTCTTACAAGGTACTGTGTTTGACGTATATACAGTGGACCCCCGCATACCGTTGGCCTTACATAATGTTAAATCCGCATACCGATACATTTTATCGCTAAGATTTTGCCTTGCATACCGCTAAAAAACCCGCTCAACGCTGTTCGTCCGAGACGCGTCTAATGTGCGGCCTTAGCCAGCCTCACATGTTCCGCCGGTGGCATTGTTTACCAGCCAGCCTCCGCGGTAACATCCAAGCATACAATCGGAACATTTCGTATTATTACAGTGTTTTTGGTGATTTTATCTGCAAAATAAGTGACCATGGGCCCCAAGAAAGCTTCTAGTGCCAACCCTACAGGAATAAGGGTGAGAATTACTATAGAGATGAAGAAAGAGTTCACTGATAAGTATGAAAGTGGAGTGCGTGTCTCAGAGCTGGCCAGGTTGTATAATAAACCCCAATCAACCATCGCTACTATTGTGGGCAACAAAAAAGGCAATCAAGGAAGCTGTTCTTGCCAAAGGTTCAACTGTGTTTTCGAAACAGAGATCGCAAGTGATGGAAGATGTTGAGAGACTCTTATTGGTGTGGATAAATGAAAAACAGATAGCAGGAGATAGCATCTCTCAAGTGATCATAAGTGAAAAGGCTAGGAAGTTGCATCAGGATTTAATTAAAAAAATGCCTGCAACTAGTCATGATGTGAGTGAATTTAAGGCCAGCAAAGGTTGGTTTGAGAGATTTAACCCTTTGAGGGTTTTGGTCGTACTAGTACGTTTTACGCGTAGGGGTTTTTGACGTACTAGTACTCATAAATTCTAGCGGCCTCAAATCTAGTGGGAGAAAGCTGGTAGGCCTTCATGTGAAAGAATGGGTCTATGTGGTCAGTGTGCACAGTCTAAAAAAAATCCTGCAGCACACAGTGCATAATGAGAAAAAAAAAACTTTGACCATTTTTTTTAATAAATCAGCGACTTTGCAGTGTATTTTCGTATGGTATTTATTGTTTTTATTCTAGTTTCTTGGTCTCATTTTATAGAATGGAAGACATATTACAGAAATTGAGATGATTTTGACGGGTTTTACAATGAAAGGTGCCTTGAAATTGAGCTCAAAGTAGCAGAAATGTTCGATTTTTACCAAACTTCAAAAGTAAACAAATCGTGCCAAGCGTGCAATACACGTCAACTGGTGAGGCTAATATTCTTTTACAAGTGCACCAATAATATTTATACCATTTTTTACACTAATGCAGTAGTCTGCATAACAGTAAATCTTATATTTTTTTGTGAGAATAAAAATTCAAAGTGGAAAGCAAAAGGATATAAGAGGGCCCTTGAGACGTGACTAATGATTAGGGGAAATGTCATTTTAGTCCCAGGAATGTCTTTCTTGTTTATTCTGGACCCTATTCGGAAATTGGCATCTTTTGAAATTTGTGTGAAATTGGCAAAATTGCTAAATTCTGACCACTGTACTGGATAGTTGAATTTATAAATGGGTGGTTTCTTGCACCCATTCGATAGAAAAAATGGAGTTCTAGCGAAATATTCATGTTTTTTGTCGACTAGTACAGTGAAATTGGCCGAAAATGGGGCTCAAAGTGGGCAAAATCGCCGATGCGTAAATATCGCCGAGACCGCTAACTTTGCGAGAGCATAATTCCGTAAGTTTTCTATCAAATTTCAAACTTTTGGTGTCTTTATGATCGGGAAAAGATTCTCTATCTTTTCATAAGAGAAAATAATATTTTTTTTTTTTTAAATTTGGCCGACCCTGAGAACGAGTTTCGGAGAGGGCCTGTCGACCCTCAAAGGGTTAAGAAGCGTAGTGGCATACATAGTGTGATAAGGCATGGTGAGGCTGCCAGTTCGGACCACAAAGCAGCTGAAAAACATGTGCAGGAATTCAAGGAGTACATAGACAGTGAAGGACTGAAACCTGAACAAGTGTTTAATTGTGATGAAACAGGCCTGTTTTGGAAGAAAATGCCAAGCAGGACCTACATTACTCAGGAGGAAAAGGCACTCCCAGGACATAAGCCTATGAAAGACAGGCTTACTCTTCTCATGTGTGCCAATGCTAGTGGTGATTGCAAAGTGAAGCCTTTATTAGTGTATCACTCAGAAACTCCCAGAGCGTTCAGGCAAAAGAATATCCTCAAGGCTAATTTGTGTGTGCTGTAGAGGGCAAACTGTAAGGCATGGGTCACTAGGGACTTTTTCTATGACTGGTTACACCATGCATTTGCCCCCAATGTGAAAGATTACTTAACTGAAAAGAAATTAGACTTTAAGTGCCTCCTGGTGTTAGACAATGCCCCTGGTCATCCTACAGACGTGGCAGAGCGACTTTATGGGGACATGAGCTTCATTAAGGTGAAGTTTTTGCCTCCTAATACCACTCCTCTCCTGCAGCCCATGGACCAGCAGGTTATTGCAAACTTCAAAAAACTGTACACAAAAGCTCTGTTTGAAAGGTGCTTTGTAGTGACCTCAGAAACTCAACTGACTCTAAGAGAGTTTTGGAGAGAGCACTTTAATATCCTCAATTGTGTAAACCTTATAGGTAAGGCTTGGGAGGGAGTGACTAAGAAGACCTTGAACTCTGCTTGGAAGAAACTGTGGCCAGAATGTGTAGACCAAAGGGATTTTGAAGGGTTTGAGGCTAACCCTAGGAATCTTATGCCAGTTGAGGAATCAATTGTGGCATTGGGGAAGTCCTTGGGGTTGGAGGTTAGCAGGGATAATGTGGAAGAGTTGGTGGAGGAGGACAATGAAGAACTAACCACTGATGAGCTGCTAGATCAACTTCAACAGCAAGAGGCCAGACCTGAGGAAACTGGTTCGGAGGAGGGGAGAGAGAAATTGAAGAAGTTTTTTTTTTTTTTTTTTATCACACTGGCCGATTCCCACCAAGGCAGGGTGGCCCGAAAAAAAAAAACTTTCACCATCATTCACTCCATCACTGTCTTGCCAGAAGGGTGCTTTACACTACAGTTTTTAAACTGCAACATTAACACCCCTCCTTCAGAGTGCAGGAACTGTACTTCCCATCTCCAGGACTCAAGTCCGGCCTGCCGGTTTCCCTGAACCCCTTCATAAATGTTACTCTGCTCACACTCCAACAGCACGTCAAGTATTAAAAACCATTTGTCTCCATTCACTCCTATCAAACATGCTCACGCATGCCTGCTGGAAGTCCAAGCCCCTCGCACACAAAACCTCCTTTACCCCCTCCCTTCAACCTTTCCTAGGCCGACCCCTACCCCGCCTTCCTTCCACTACAGACTGATACACTCTTGAAGTTATTCTGTTTCGCTCCATTCTCTCCACATGTCCGAACCACCTCAACAACCCTTCTTCAGCCCTCTGGACAACAGTTTTGGTAATCCCGCACCTCCTCCTAACTTCCAAACTACGAATCTTCTGCATTATATTCACACCACACATTGCTCTCAGACATGACATCTCCACTGCCTCCAGCCTTCTCCTCGCTGCAACATTCATCACCC